ATCCCCAACTATACTGTTAAGTCACTAGTTTATAAAAAAAAAAATAGTGCAAATCCTCTTCCCTTCTGGTACTGATAGCATTCCCTAGTAAAGCCATAAAACGCCTGGAAGAAAAACCCCCAAGCTAAGAGAACAGCAAGCAAGGACTCCACATTTAGAGGAAACCTCAGTGAGAATTATGATGCATGTAGTCCTCAAGACCACAAATGAGCCTAAAATTTATGTTGCTAAACGAGACAGTTGTTAAGTGAGTCTTTTACAACTTTTCTCACCCCAATTGTTAAGTGAATCTGGCTTCCCCATTGACTTTGCAAAAGGGGACTGACCTGACCCCAGGACTCTGCAACCGTCGTAAATGCGAGTCAGTTGCCAAGCGTCTGGATTTTAATCAAAGGACTATGAGGATGCTGCAACAGTCGTAAGCCTGAGAAATGGCCCTAGGTCCCTTTTTCCAGCGCTGTTGTAACTTAGAACAGTCACTAAATGAACAATTGTAAGTGCAGCCCTACCAATGCTTTTGTACAAAGCCCCTCTCTGTTTGATGAGCTAACTGAATTTTGAGCTCTAGCTAGTTCTGGGAACGTTTGTATCCAGCAAAAGCAAAATGTAGGATATAGATTATAGATTAAAAGAGCTGGAAGGGACCTTGTAGGTCATCTAGTCCAACCCCCAAGCCCAAGCAGGAGACCCTACACCATTTCTGACAGAGGACAGTCCAGTCTCTTCTTGAAAGTCTCAAGTGATGAAGCTCCCACAACTTCTGAGGGTAACTTCTATTCCATGGGTTGATTGTTCTCACTGTCAGAAAGCTTCTCCTTATTTCCAGGTTGAATCTCTCTCCTTGTTCAGTTTCCATCCATTATTCCTTGTCTGGCCTACAGGCACTTTAGAAAATCGCTTGACCCCTTCCTCCTCTCTGTGGCAGCCCCTCAAATATTGGATGACCTCTTTCCTGTCTCTCCTGGTCCTTCTCTTCACTAGAGCAGCCAGGCCCAGTTCCTGCAACCGTTCATCGTACGTTTTAGCCTCCAATCCTCTAATCATCCTGGTTGCTCTTCTCTGTACTGTTTTTAGAGTCTCAACATCTTTTTTATAATGTGGTGACCAAAACTGGATGCAGTACTCTAGGTGTGGCCTTACTAAGGCTTTATAGAGTGGTATTAGTACCTCCCTTGATCTGGATTGTATCCCTCTGTTAATACAATTTAGGATTGCGTTAGCTTTTTTGGCTGCTGCTGCACACGGCTGGCTCCTATGTAGCTGGCTGTCCACTAAGACTCCAAGATCCCTCTCACAGTTCCTGCTATTGAGCCTGGTTTCACCCAGTCTGTATGGGTACTTTCGGTTTTTCTTGCCTAAGTGTAGGACTTTGCTTTTCTCTACATTGAATTTCATTTTCATTTTCTCTCTCCTCTTTCCCCCCGTCCCGCTGCAAATTATTCAGGCTTGTTTTGTTAAACCCCGTGAGGGCAGCCCATCCTGGGCAGAGCTGGATGCATTCACACAAATTCTCTTTTCTCTTTTCTTTTAAGGTGTCCCAACGTTCTTCACCACGCTGTGGATAGTACTGAAAGTGTATTTTGAAAATGTTTTGTAAGCCAGAATTTTTTTTCTCACATTGTTGCAATGTTTGTGCGTTTTGTGTGTGGGGGTATGTGAGGAGGGTTAGTGGGGGTGTGGATTTGGGTGTCTAAGTTAAGGGTGGCTTTAAGTTAAGGCTGCCAGGATACGGGTCAAAATCGAAGGGGTGTCCAGCCACCTCACTACGGGTAGTCCTCGACTTACAAACAGTGACTTTTCAAATGTACAACTAGGGGTGGGATTCAAACTTTTTTTGACAACCGGTTCTGTGGGCGTGGCTAGGTGGGTGTGGCCATGTGACTGGGTGGGCATGACTTTTTTTGCAGCCCTCGGGAGGGGAAAAAGTAAGAAATACCTTAAAGGAGTGAATGGGCAGGAAAGAATGCAGTTAATGAGGTCGGGCATGCGTGCCAGGGATATGATGTGCCAGTTCTCCGAACTGCGCAGATTCATAACAACCAGTTCTATAGAACCGATCCGAACCAGTAGAATACCACCCCTGGTTACAACAGCACTGAAAAAAAAGCGACTTACGGCCGTTTTTACGACCGCTGCGACGCCTCCGTGGTTAGTCACACGATCAAAATGCGGGTGCTTGGTCACCGACTCATTTTATGACGGTGGCAGTGTCCCAGCAGTCATGTGACCCCCCCTTTTGTGACCACCTGATAAGCAGAGCCAATGGGGAAGCCAGATTCACTTAACAACCGTGTGACTAACTTAACAACCGCAGGGATTCACTGAACAGCTGTGGCAAGACGGGTCATCAAGGGAGGCAAAACCCATTGAACGGACGTCTTAGCCACAGAAATTTTGGGCAGAATTGTAAGTCGAGGACTGTATCTGTGTCCCAAAATCAAGACCATGAGAAAAAGATGTTCATGTCACCTGTAGAGCCTTTTTTTTTTTTTAAAAAAAGCAACCTTTTCTTAATTATTAACAGTGGGTTTAACATGGTTTTGAATGAAAGGCATTTTTCCATTGACTGCAGTTGGCAACTCTGCCCGAGAAAGGGGAGGAGGGAAGGAAGCCAAGGGGGCTAAGAGGGAGGGGAGAAGGAGGGAAGAAGGAGAAAGAGAGAAAGAAAGAAAGAAAGAAAGAAAGAAAGAAAGAAAGAAAGAAAGAAAGGGAGTGAGGAAGGGACAGAGGAAGGAAAATAGGAGGGAGGGAAAGAAGGAAGGGTGGAATGAAGAGAGGAAGGAATGAGAAAGGAAGGAAGGATGAAAAGACAAAGGAAAGAGAAAGGAATGGCAAAGAGGAAAGAAGAACGAAAGAAAAGGAGGAAGAAAGGAAGAGGAAAGAGGGGGAAAGGATGGAGGGAGTGAGGAAAAGAAGGGGAAAAAAAGAAAGAAGGAAGGGGAAATGAGGGAATGAGAGGAAAGAAGGGAAAGATGAAGGTGAAGGTGAAGGGAGGAAAGGGAAAAAGAGGGAAAGGGAAGGAGGAAGAAAGAGAAACCAAGAGAGAGAGAGAGAGGAGTGGAAAGCAAAGAAGGCCCATTAGATTTGTCAAATTTGACTCAGGAGGATCTCAAATTGTCAATGCTGGAAATTAAGACAATTCTTCCAGAATCAAACTGGGGATTGGCCAGGAAATTCATGGTGTAAATTAATTTTTCACCCCCACAGAATGAGGGTTTACATTTTGTCACTTTTGAACCGGGGGGGAGGACTCCCCAAAATTCAAATTGGCGAGCACCCCTGGCCATTCAAAACCCAGGCAGTTCCGATTTAACAAAACTCACATATATTTTCCACGTTCTTAACTGTTATTCAATAAAAACATATATGGGATAAAATAACAACCCCCCTGCCCGGGCAGAAACCCCTGTAGCATCCCAGATCAATGGCCGTCCAATCTCTTCTTAAAAGCCTCCAATGTTGGAGCACCTCCAGCTTCCAGAGGGAAGCTGTTCCACGGATTAATTGCTCTCACAATCAGGAAATCTTCTAATTAATCGCCTCAGAGGTAATAGTCAAAATAATCAGATTGCAACAATGCTCTGCTTGTTACAATGATATTCTACAAAATGCCCTCAGACTGGTGCGAACAAGAACAGCAATTCCTCTCTCCAGTATGATGTGCTCAGAAAAACTGCAGTCGAAAAAACAAACTCAAGAAAAAGAGAGGAAAATCTAATATAAAAATATATGTTTATAAGCATTACCTATCATGAGTCTCTCTCTCTGTCTCTCTCTGCGTGTGTGTCTCTTTCTCTGTCTGTCTCTCTCTCTGTGTCTTTCTCTGACTCGCTGTGTTTCTGTCACACTGTGTCTCTATTTCTCTCTCTATTTCTCTCTCTCTCTGTCTTTCTCTGATTCTCTCTGTGTATTTCTGTCTCTCTGTCTTTCTCTATTTCTCTCTCTCTGACATTCTCTCTCTCTCTCTCTCTGTGTCTCTTTCTCTGTCTGTCTTTCTCTGTTTCTCTCTCTCTCTGACTTTCTCTCTGTGTCTCTCTCTTTCTCTGTCTGTCTGTCTGTCTGTCTGTCTGTCTCTGTCTTTCTCTGTCTCTCTCTCTCTCTGTCACTCTCTCTCTGTCTTTCTCTGATTCTCTCTGTGTGTTTCTGTCTCTCTTCCTCTGTCTCTCTGTCTTTCTCTGTTTCTATCTCTCTCTGACTTTCTCTCTGTCTCTCTGTGTCTCTCTTTCTCTGTCTGTCTGTCTGTCTCTGTCTTTCTCTGTCTCTCTCTCTTTCTCTGATTCTCTCTCTGTGTGTCTCTCTTTCTCTGTCTGTCTGTCTGTCTCTGTCTCTCTCTTTCTTTCTCTGCCTGTCTCTCTCTCTCTCTCTCTGTCTCTCTCTCTCTCTCCAGGTGCTGGGATGCGAACCAAGGCTCCCCTTACTGGTGGGTCATCCAAGGCCCCATCATGGTCTCTGTTGCGGTCTGTATCTGGTTTCCAGTTTATCTTATGTCAGAGATGGGAATGGCAACTAGCATTGCTGCCAATATATAGGAGCAAAGGACAGGGGGGGGCGGGGTGATGGCCTAAAATTCATAAAGTCAAGATGGCGGCCACAACCTTGTCATCAGAGCCCCCTCCTTTTTGACAGGTGTAAAAATGATAAAGAAGTCATACAGGTAACCCTCCTCTGACAATAGTTCGTTTAGTGACCGTTTGAAGTTACAACGGCACTGAAAAAAGTGACTTAGGACCACTTTTCACACTTACGACCATTGCAACAACTCTGTGGTCACGTGACTTACATTCGGATGCTTGACAACTGACCCGCATTTGTGATGGTCTCAGTGTCTTGGGGTCACGTGATCCCCTTTTGCGACCTTCTAACAAGCAAAGTCAATGGGGAAGCCAGATTCACTTAACGACCGCGTTACTCATTTAACAATTGCAGTGATTCACTCAACAAATGTGGCAAGAAAAGTCATAAAATAGGATAGAATTCAATTAACCGGTTTCTCAGCAACATCATCATTATTATTATTATTATTATTATTATTATTATTATTATTTGTGTTTTAATGGCCCCATAATCCCTTACATCAGGGTGGAGTCAGGGCAACTGAATGGAGCTGTGTGTTTACTGGCCGGATGCCCTTCCTGTCACCAATGCAGAGTTCTCAGCAAATAATTACTCGTTATGCCCAGAGAGAGAAATATCTGCCGCTACCTAGGATTGAACTCACAGCCTCTTGATAGTGAGATGAGAACTACACCTCCACACCACTTACTTAGCAACATAAATGTTGGACTCAATTTTGGCCGTACATTGAGCACTATTTGCATGTTTTATAATATTAAAAAAAAATAACGGTTATTTTTTTATATTATGATTATCATAAGTTGGAGTATATACTTGTAACCCTGAAAACAGTGTTATGGCCACCATCTTGACTTTTCTGACCCACTTGGACTTTCCTGATTTGAGCAAGGGTTGGGTTCAGTCCAAGACAACATTTCCAGTTGCTTTGTTATTCTGGGTCCTAAACGGGAAAGGAGAAAGAAAAGATTTAGAAGGATTATCTGAGGGAAAAGAGAGATGGATGAAATAGTCAAAATGGCAGCCATAACCATAGAGTTGAAGTCCTCTGCCTGAAAGAATATAGGATGAAGCAACTTAATTTGTAAGTTATTCAGAATTATGGCAGATTGCGGGAAGCCTATAAATTCAGTACAAGTGGTCCTTGAGTTACAACCGTTCATTTAGTGACTGATCACACTGGCACGGAACAAAGTGACTTATGACCAGTCGTCACACTTACAAACCATTGCAGCATCTCCGTGGTAAAGGGATCAAAATTTGGATGTTTGGAATTTGGAACTGTATTTATGACTTAACCACTGCAGCAATTGGCTTATCCACCATGGCAAAAAAAAAGGTCATAAAATTGGATTTGAGTCCCTTTACAACTCTCTTGCTTTACCAATTGGAAATTTGGGCGTAAGTCGAGGACTAATTGTAAAGAAATACACATACAGGGGAGAGCTCATTTGAGCTGAGCAGATATTGAGAAATCTCTGCTTGGTCTATTGACAAATATCCAGCGACAAATAGTTCAAGGAATGGAATAACCACAATAAAGAGAAAATGGGAACGAAAATTCAGACCCAGAGTTTTTCAGTCTTAGTCACTTTGAGATGTGTGGACTTCAACATCCAAAATTCCATGGTTAAGATAAGTGGACTTCAACTCCCATAATTCTGTAATGTAGACTTCAATAAGAATTCCATGTTTATGTGGATTTCAACTCCCAGGATTCCATGCTTAAGAGAGGCAGACTTGGTGTTCTCTGAACTTGGCTGTTATCTTGCAGATATTTCCTTACCCAAACTACGTAACATTATTAGTTCTAGACTTCCATTCCCACAATTCCAAGCTAGCTGGGGAATTCTGGGAGTTGAAGTCCACATGTCTTAAACTTGCCAAATGTGAGAAGCAAAGTTACATCTCTTATTTCTGCAAACAGCACAGTCTCTTTTTCTCTGTTTCTTCCATACCAACAGGTCAATTTCATTCTTTTCATCAATATTGTCCAAATCCTGATGAAAAAACTGAATCCCAGACACGTCCATGTGAACAACTCGTTTCAATACAGGTAAGACAGTGGAGGAGCAGCTATAAAGCAAGTTGGAAAATCCCCCCCCCCCCAAAAAAAAATTCTATTTCTTGAACAAGAAAATTAGGAAGAAAAAAGAAATCTACAAAGTGTTTATATTTTCAATTTCAATTTCATTTGATGTTACTGTGCATGTTTTTTTCCAATTGTATTTGGAGCATGCTGCATGCAATCGGAAATTTTCAATGCATAATATGAATAAACAAACAAACAAACAAATAATGATGAACAAAAGGTGACAAAGAAATTTTGGCATTACCATCTAAACATTGATTGGAGGTGAAGGGAGGGAGAGAGGGAGGGAAGGAAGGAAGGAAGGAAGGAAGGAAGGAAGGAAGGAAGGAAGGAAGGAAGAAGGAAGGAAGGAAGGAAGGAATAGCAATAGCACTTAGACTTATGTACCACTTTAACAATGCTTTCCAGCCCTCTCTAAGCAGTTTACAGAATCAGCCTCTTGCCCCCAACAATCTGGGTCCTCATTTTACCCACCTCGGAAGGATGGAAGGCTGCATCAACCTTGAGCCAGTGCAGTGAGCAGTGAGACTTAGCCTGCAAGTACTGTGACACAACGGAAGGAAGGAAGGGAGGACTTAGAGCTTAGAATAACTTTATTGTCCTTTTAAAATTTAAATGTACACTAATCGACATGCATTGAAATGAAATTTTTGTTACATACAGCTCTCAACTAGAAAGCTGGAAAGAAAAAAAAGAAGGAAGGGAGGGAGGGAGAAAGAAAGAAAGAGGGAGGGAGGGAGGGAGAAAGGAAGGAAGGAAGGAAGGACTTAGAGCTTAGAATAACTTTATTGTCCTTTTAAAATTTAAATGTACACGGAAGGAAGGAAGATCAATTAACCCTTTCCAGTGTGAAATTGTCAGGAGACTCTTGATCAATAATAAAGGGCAATAAACAAAAAGAAAGAAAGAAAGAAAGAAAGAAAGAAAGAAAGAAAGAAAGAAAGAAAGA